TTCCTGTTATGTGTGCCTGGCCCTCTAGCTTTTGCATTAACCTCTTGTGAGAAACTGTGTCGAATTCCTTCTTGTAGTCCAAGAAAATGCAGTCTATTTACCCCTCTCTCTCGTGTCTTACTTTGTTACCTTATTTTAAAACTCCAGTAGGTTTGTGACGCAAGATTTTCCTTCCCAGAAACCGTGCTGTGTGTGTGTGTGTGTGTGTGTGTGTGTGTGTGTGTGTGTGTGTGTGTGTGTGTGTGTGTGTGTGTGTGTGTGTGTGGTGTGTGTGTGTGTGTGTGTGAGTGTGTGTGTTGTGTGTGTGGTGTGTGTGTGTGTGTGATGTGTGTGTGAGTGTGTGTGTGTGTGTGTATGTGTAGTGTGTGAGTGTGTGTGTGTGTGTAGTGTGTGTGTGGTGGTGTGTGTGTGTGTGTGTGTGTGTGTGTGTGTGTGTGTGTGTGGTGTGTGTGGTGTGTGTGGTGTGTGTGTGTGTGTGTGTGTGTGGTGTGTGTGTGTGTGTGTGTGGTGTGTGTGGTGTGTGTGTGTGTGAGTGTGTGTGTTGTGTGTGGGGTGTGTTGTGTGTGGTTGTGTGTGTGTGGAGTGTGTGTGTGTGTGTGTGTGTATGTGTGTGTGTGAGTGTGTGTGTGTGTGCAGGTGTACAGTCAATCACCTGAAGCAGTCATTAACACACCAGCCTCACACCGACCTAATTACCCATCACAGTTAAAGACCATGTAATGAACCAATGGTCCCTTTCTTGCCTCTGGTCCATTAGGTTAGAGGAAGGGAGGGACAGGAGTCATTACTCAACCTCTTACTATTGATGTTTTACTCTGTCTTTAAAAATAATTTGTGTGATTATCTCATGAAATGTCTTAGTTTCAGACTTAATTAATGTAGTTTACCTGGGGTATACGTGGAGAGGGTTTCGGGGGTCAACGCCCCCGCAGCTCAGTCTGAGACCAGGCCTCGTGGTAGGTCAGGGTCTGATCAATCAGGCTGTTACTGCTGGACGCACGGAAACTGACGTACGAACCACAATCCGGCTGTTCTGGTACTGACAGTCAGGGGTCTATTGGTAATCCCCCTTATGTATGCTGGGAGACAGTTGAACAGTCTTGGGCCCCTGACACTTATTGTGTTGTCTCTGAGTGTACTCGTGACTCCCTTGCTTTTCATCGGGGGAATGTTGCATCTCCTGCCGAATCTTTTGCTTTTATAGCGAGTGATTTTCGTGTACAAGTTTGGTACTAATCCCTCTAGAATTTTTCAGTTGTATATTATCATGTATCTCTCTCGCCTGCGTTCCAGAGAATAGAAATCAAGGGACTGCAACCATTCCCAGTAATTTAGGTGCCTTATCGCAATTATGTGTTCCCTGAAGGTTCTTTGTACACTCTTCAGGTCAGCAATTTCGCCTGCCTTGAAGGGGGCAGTTAGTGTACAGCAGTATTCCAGTCTTGACAGAACAAGCGATTTTAAAGGAATCATCACCGGCTTGGCTTCCCTAGTTTTGAAGGTTCTCATTATCCATCTTATCATTTTTCTAGCAGATGCGGTGGATACATCATTGTGATTTTTGAAGGCGAGATCCTCCTATATTATCACTCCCAGGTCTTTCACATTACTCTTCGGCTTTATTGTATGGTTAGAATTTGTTTTATACCCTGATACAATTTTTATTTCCTCAAGTTTTTCGTATCTGAGTAGTTGTTGAATTAGACACATGTACAACTCTTGGGTATCTTTATTGAGGAAACGTTTCGCCACACAGTGGCTTCATCAGTTTCGCCACTGTGTGGCGAAACGTTTCCTCAATAAAGATACCCAAGAGTTGCACATGTGTCTAATTCAACAACTTGTCTGTTCTCTGAACCATTCATCTACAAATCTGAGTAGTTGAATTTTTTCTTCCTTGAACTTCACAGTGTTCTGAGTGGCCCATTTGAAGATGTGGTTGATGTCCTCTTGGAGTCTCGCGGTGTTTACGACGGAAGACACTGTCATAGCAATTCGGGTGTCATCCGCAAAGGAAGACACGGAGCTATGGCTTACATCTCTATGTCAGATATGAGGATGAAGAAGATGGGAGCGAGTACTGGGCTCTGTGGAACAGAGCTTTTCACTGTAGATTCCCTTTGACTTTACTCTATTTACTATTACTCTTTGTGTTCTATTTTTTAGGAAGTTAGAGGTCCATCTACCAACTTTTCCTGTTATTCCTTTATCGTGCATTTTGTGCGCTATTACACCGTGGTCACACTTGTCGAAGGCAAAATCTATGTATACTACTGCATTTTGTTTATCCGCTATAGCATCCAGGACCATGTCATAGTGGTCGGGCACCTGGGAGAGGCAGGAGCAACCTGCTCTAAATCCGTCTTGCCCTGGGTTGTATGAATGGCACCATTACTATCTTATAGTTGACCTGGTGTAAGAATGGTACCATTACTATCTTATAGTTGACCTGGTGTAAGAATGGTACCATTACTATCTTATAGTTGACCTGGTGTAAAAATGGTACCATTACTATCTTATAGTTGACCTGGTGTAAGAATGGTACCATTACTATCTTATAGTTGACCTGGTGTAAGAATGGTACCATTACTATCTTATACATACATCTCTCTCCTTGTTTCTGGCTCAGTGCAAGAGTTTGAGAGATGTACTTTACAAGTTCACTGACACAATTTTACGCTTCTGGCACGGGAAAACTACGATAATCCACGAAAAACGGAGGAGCACGCGTGGGAGTGAGGGTGGAGCACCTGGGGGAGTGAGGGTGGAGCACCCGGGGGAGTGACGGTGATGCATACGGGGAAGTGACGGTGCTACTGACTTCTGGCTAGCATCCATCTGTGGAGTTACCCTGCGACTTTCATCAGTGCTACAACAGCTGTTGTTCTGTAAGGCTATTCCTACAAGCGTGCTCCGTGAGTGAATGTGGTCTCGTCAAATTCTCCCTTTCAGTTCATGATTACTTCTAAAAATTCACGATGGATGTTACACCTAGGAAACGTGCAAATATTGTAGCTTTTAGAAAATGTGCTGATTTGTGTATTAAACAGATAACCAAAAATTTGAGCCTAGGAAAGTTAACTGTTGGTTGGATTCTGAAGAGAGATGACGACACTGGTGATTGTGGAGCGCTGCTTCCAGGAAGATGTGGAACAAAACGCAAGACAACACATGATTACATAGGTATAGATCAGAGGTAACGAAGTACATGGGTACAGATCAGTGGTAACGAAGTACATGGGTACAGATCAGTGGTAGCGAAGTACATGGGTGCAGATCAGTGGTAACGAAGTACATGGGTACAGATCAGTGGTAGCGAAGTACATGGGTACAGATCATGGGTAACGAAGTACATGGGCACAGATCAGTGGTAGCGAAGTACATAGGTACAGATCAGTGGTAGCGAAGTACATGGGTACAGATCATGGGTAACGAAGTACATGGGCACAGATCAGTGGTAACGAAGTACATGGGCACAGATCAGTGGTAACGAAGTACATGGGTACAGATCAGTGGTAACGAAGTACATGGGTACAGATCAGTGGTAACGAAGTACATGGGTACAGATCAGTGGTAACGAAGTACATGGGTACAGATCAGTGGTAACGAAGTACATAGGTACAGATCAGGGGTAACGAAGTACATGGGCACAGATCAGTGGTAACGAAGTACGTGGGTACAGATCAGTGGCAACGAAGTACATGGGTACAGATCAGTGGTAACGAAGTACATGGGTACAGATCAGTGGTAACGAAGTACATGGGTACAGATCAGTGGTAGCGAAGTACATGGGTACAGTTCAGTGGTAACGAAGTACATGGGTACAGATCAGTGGTAACGAAGTACATGGGTACAGATCAGTGGTAGTGAGACGGAGCAAAGGCGATCCTCTTTGGAATGGACACATTCAACAAGCGCCAAAACACCCACCTAAGAAGATGTTTTGGGATAGTTTTACTTTTAAAGGCTCTGGACGGCTTGTTATTGTTGAGAGAACGATGAGCAGTGACAAATATAAGGGAATCCTGGAAACTCAGTTGCTTCCCATAAAGACTTTCCTGACAGAGAAGACATTTTCCAGCAGGATCTTGCTTCATGCAATACTTCCAGAAAAATGCAGATTTTTATCGAAGAGAATGGGTTAAATGCTCTAAATTGGCCTGGAAACTCTCCTGACCTTAACCCAACTGAGAATCTATGGGCAATAACCAAACACAGGATCACTAAACAGGATTGTTCAACTGTGGAGATGCTAATCGCTGCTGTTATTAGGATCTGATACCATGACGAAGACCTTACCAAAATGTGTTCAATATTGGTCGATTCTATGTTAAAGAGCGTAGCAATGCTTATAAAAGCAAAGGGTAGTCATATATCTTATTAAAGCAAGTGTCTGTCATATCATTGCCGAGTATTTTTTAAATAAACATCAATTTTCCAAATAAATTTTATATATATAATATATATATAAAATATATATATATATATATATATATATATATATATATATATATATATATTTTATATATATATATATATATATATATATATATATATATATATATATATATATATATATATATATATATATATATATATATATATATAGATGCAATAAGATCACAGTAAACAGGTGATATCAGAATGTGGAAAACAACCACTGTGAAAGAATAATGAAATTCCAAGCACTTTCGTGACTTCTCACATTATCAAGGAATACTCCCTGCCTTCTTGCCTCCCTGCCTTCTTCCCTCCCTGCCTTCTTCCCTCCCTCCCTGCCTTCTTGCCTCCCTGCCTTCTTGCCTCCCTGCCTTCTTGCCTCCCTGCCTTCTTGCCTCCCTGCCTTCTTGCCTCCCTGCCTTCTTCCCTCCCTGCCTTCTTGCCTCCCTGCCTTCTTGCCTCCCTGCCTTCTTGCCTCCCTGCCTTCTTGCCTCCCTGCCTTCTTCCCTCCCTGCCTTCTTGCCTCCCTGCCTTCTTGCCTCCCTGCCTGCAAGACTCACCATAGCAACATTGATGTAGAGAGGTTTGTTAGGGATGATCCAGGTAACAGTCTCGTGGCAGGCTGGTTCAGTGAGGGAGCCTTCGTAGGTGAGGTAATGTTCGGTGGAAGGCAGCAGCCCACTCACCACCAGTGATGCTGCCTTCACTGACGAACCTGCAACACAACACAATACTCTCTCAAGGTGTGCCATGGAGAACTACAGTAGGTCTACTGCCTACACTGATGAACCTACAACACATGCACAGAAAAACACAGACAAACACACTCACACACACACACACACACACCCACACACACACACACACAGTGAAGAGGCGGGGCCAGGAGCTATGACTCGACCCCTGCAACCACAAATAGGTGAGTACAAATAGGTGAGTACACACACACGCATACACACATGAAGTAGGCCTATTGACAATTAGAAAGACTTTCAAAACACATGAAAACAATAGGAAAAGGAACCCTGCGATAGGCCTATTGTCATTTTAAAAAACTTATAAGGCAATGTGTGAAGGAACATTGAAGTAGGCCTAAGGCACTATGAACAAAAAAAAAATCAAGAAAAGTCAAAGTGACATGAAAAGGATAACTGCAGTAGGCCTACAGGCCTAAGATGACTTACGAATGTTGAGGAAGCCTTTATGAGTGAGAACTGACTGAGGAATGACTGAGAACTGTCCAAGGAATGACTGAGAAAAGACCTGAAGAGTATTGTAGTAGGTTCGCCGGTCTTGTCCCGACCCGGGGAATGAGAAGAATGACCTGAAGAATAACTAAGAATGATCTGATGAATAAGTGACCTAAAGAATGACTGAGGAATGACCTGAAGAATGACTGAGGAATGACCTGAAGAATGACTGAGGAATCATCTGAAGAATGACTGAGGAATGACCTGAAGAATGACTGAAGAATGACCTGAAGAATGACTGAGGAATCATCTGAGGAATGACTAAGTGACCTGAAGAATGACTTAGGAATGATGTGAAGAATGGCTGAAAAATGACTGAGGAATGACTGACAAATAACCTGAAGAATGGCTGAGAAATGACCTTGAAAATGACTGAGGAATGATCTAAATAATAAGGAATGAACTAAAGAATGACTGAGCAATGTCCTGAAGAATGACTAATGAATGACCTGAAGAATGACTGAGAATTGACCTAAATAGTGACTGAAGAATGACCCGAGGAACGAATGAAGAATAACCTGAAGAATGACTGAGAAATGACCTAAAAATGATTGAAGAATAATCTGAAGAATGACTGAGGAATGACCTGAAGAATGACTTAAAGGATGATCTGAAGAATGACTGAGTAATGACCTGAAGAACTGAAGAATGATCTAAAGAATGACTGAGGAATGATCTAAAGAATGACTGAGGAATGATCTAAAGAATGACTGAGGAATGATCTAAAGAATGACTGAGGAATGACCTGAAGAATGACTGAGGAATGATCTAAAGAATGACTGAGGAATGACCTGAAGAATGACTGAGGAATGATCTAAAGAATGACTGAGGAATGATCTAAAGAATGACTGAGGAATGACCTAAAGAATGACTGAGGAATGACCTAAAGAATGACTGAGGAATGACCTGAAGAATGACTGAGGAATGACCTGAAGAATGACTGAGGAATGACCTGAAGAATGACTGAGGAATGACCTGAAGAATGACTGAGGAATGATCTAAAGAATGACTGAGGAGTGACCTAAAGAATGACTGAGGAATGACCTAAAGAATGACTGAGGAATGACCTAAAGAATGACTGAGGAATGATCTAAAGAATGACTGAGGAATGACCTGAAGAATGACTGAGGAATGATCTAAAGAATGACTGAGGAATGACCTGAAGAATGACTGAGGAATGACCTGAAGAATGACTGAGGAATGATCTAAAGAATGACTGAGGAATGACCTGAAGAATGACTGAGGAATGACCTAAAGAATGACTGAGGAATGATCTAAAGAATGACTGAGGAATGATCTAAAGAATGACTGAGGAATGACCTGAAGAATGACTGAGGAATGATCTAAAGAATGACTGAGGAATGACCTAAAGAATGACTGAGGAATGACCTGAAGAATGACTGAGGAATGACCTGAAGAATGACTGAGGAATGATCTAAAGAATGACTGAGGAATGATCTAAAGAATGACTGAGGAATGACCTAAAGAATGACTGAGGAATGATCTAAAGAATGACTGAGGAATGATCTAAAGAATGACTGAGGAATGACCTGAAGAATGACTGAGGAATGATCTAAAGAATGACTGAGGAATGACCTAAAGAATGACTGAGGAATGACCTGAAGAATGACTGAGGAATGACCTGAAGAATGACTGAGGAATGATCTAAAGAATGACTGAGGAATGATCTAAAGAATGACTGAGGAATGACCTGAAGAATGACTGAGGAATGATCTAAAGAATGACTGAGGAATGACCTAAAGAATGACTGAGGAATGACCTGAAGAATGACTGAGGAATGACCTGAAGAATGACTGAGGAATGATCTAAAGAATGACTGAGGAATGATCTAAAGAATGACTGAGGAATGACCTAAAGAATGACTGAGGAATGATCTAAAGAATGACTGAAGAATGATCTAAAGAATGACTGAGGAATGACCTGAAGAATGACTGAGGAATGATCTAAAGAATGACTGAGGAATGACCTAAAGAATGACTGAGGAATGACCTGAAGAATGACTGAGGAATGACCTGAAGAATGACTGAGGAATGATCTAAAGAATGACTGAGGAATGATCTAAAGAATGACTGAGGAATGACCTAAAGAATGACTGAGGAATGATCTAAAGAATGACTGAGGAATGATCTAAAGAATGACTGAGGAATGACCTGAAGAATGACTGAGGAATGATCTAAAGAATGACTGAGGAATGACCTAAAGAATGACTGAGGAATGACCTGAAGAATGACTGAGGAATGACCTGAAGAATGACTGAGGAATGATCTAAAGAATGACTGAGGAATGATCTAAAGAATGACTGAGGAATGACTATAGGAGTATTCAACAAGATTTTCACGAAACACACAAAAGAGGAATGACAAAAAGATATAAATAGTTAGTCAATAAAGCTGACAATTCCTTCCCCTCCCTCTTTCCCCTCCCCTCATTCCCCTCCCTCCCCTCCCTACCTCCCCCTGACCTCCCATTCGTGCTGCCACTCACACTAATGAGGCCACGACAGTCATTTGTCGTGGGTGCCCACGATATCTGAATGTAATGTCATGGCATGAGTATGAGGTGGCGTCCAGGGCGCTGAGAGGTCGTCTAGGACGCTGAGAGGTCGTCCAGGGCGCTGAGAGGTCGTCTAGGACGCTGAGAGGTCGTCCAGGGAGATGAGAGGTCGTCTAGGACGCTGAGAGGTCGTCCAGGGCGCTGAGAGGTCGTCTAGGACGCTGAAAGGTCGTCTAGGACACTGAGAGGTCGTCCAGGGGGATGAGAGGTCGTCTAGGACGCTGAGAGGTCGTCCAGGACGCTGAGAGGTCGTCCAGGACGCTGAGAGGTCGTCTAGGACGCTGAGAGGTCGTCCAGGGAGATGAGAGGTCGTCTAGGACGCTGAGAGGTCGTCCAGGGAGATGAGAGGTCATCTAGGACGCTGAGAGGTCGTCCAGGGAGATGAGAGGTCTTCTAGGACATTGAGAAGTCGTCCAGGGAGATGAGAGGTCGTCTAGGACGCTGAGAGGTCGTCCAGGGAGATGAGAGGTCGTCTAGGGAGTTTAGAGGTTAACCAGGAGCTAAAAGGTCATCCAGAGAACTGATAAGGTCGTCCAGGGCAGTGAGAGATCGTCCAGTGAGGTGAGAAGGTCGTCCAGGACACACTACACAAACACACACTACACCTAACACTACATCCAGAAATCCTACCCAGAGAACTCCAGAACCCCCTAGAAAACTCCAGAACCTCCAGAGAACTCCAGAACCCCCTAGAGAACTCCAGAACCCCCTAGAGAACTCCAGAACCCCTAAAGAACTCCAGAACCCCCTAGAGAACTCCAGAACCCCCTAGAGAACTCCAGAACCCCCTAGAGAACTCCAGAACCCCCTAGAGAACTCCAGAACCCCCTAGAGAACTCCAGAACCCCCTAGTGAAACCCAGAACTGACCAGAGAACGCCAGGACTCACCTCCATACGTAATAATGTCAATACCTTCCAGTAAGACTCGTAGTTCTGGCGTCATTCTCTCACCCAGCTGTAGGATGATAAATTTTATCTTATTACTCCACACAAACACAGAGATAATAATAAAAATAACTAAAACATATGTAATAATAATAATAATAATAATAATAATAATAATAATAATAATAATAATAATAATAATAATAATAAACTACCCAATCAGACTCCTGAAGATGACGTCACATAATCAGGGAACCAATCAGAGTGCTGCTGGTGTGTCCCTCAGGATAGACAATCAGATTACTATTCACTGCTATTCAGATGGCGTCTCTGAGCGGCCAGGTCTGATCTCCCAGACACGTTACCTGCCAATCACTCGTAGAAAAACTGATTGGTCTTTATAGTGAGGTAATGATCATAGCGAAGTTGTGATGAGGAGGAGGAAGAGGAGGAGGAGGAGGAGGAGGAGGAGGAGGAAGAGGAGGAGGAGGAAGAGGAGGAGGAGGAAGAGGAGGGGAGGAGGAGAGGAGGAGGAAGAGGAGGAGGGAGGAAGAGGAGGAGGAGGAGAGAGGAGGAAGAGGAGAGGAAGGAGGAGGAAGGAGGAAGAGGAGGAGGAAGAGGAGGAGGAGGAGGAGGAGAGGAGGAGGAAGAGGAGGTAGAAAAGGAGGAGGAAGAGGAGGAGGAGGAAGAGGAGGAGGAGGAAGAGGAGGAGGAGGAAGAGGAGGAGGAGGAAGAGGAGGAGGAGGAAGAAGAGGAGGAGGAAGAGGGAGGAGGAGGAAGAGGAGGTAAAAGGAGGAGGAAGATGAGGGAGAGGAAGAGGAGGAGGAGGAAGAAGAGGAGGAGGAAGAGAGGAGAGGAGGAAGGAGGAGGAGGAAAGAGGAGGGGGAAGAGAAGGAGGAAGGAGAGGAGGAGGAGGAAGAGGAGGAGAAGGAAGAAGAGGAGGAGGAAGAGGAGGAGAAAAGGGAGGAAGAGGAGGAGGAGAAGAGGAAGGAGGAAGAGGAAGGAGGAAGAGGAGGAGGAGGAAGAGGGAGGAGGAAGGGAGGAGGAGGAAGAGGAGGAGGAGGAAGAGGAGGAGGGGAAGAGGAGGAGGAAAGAGGAGGAGGAGGAAAGAGGAGGAGGAAGAGGAGGTGAAGAGGAGAGGAAGAGGAGGAGGGGAAGAGGAGGAGGAGGAAGAGAGGAGGAGGAGAGGAGGAGGGGAGGAAGGAGGAGGGGGAGTGAGGAGGAGGAAGGGAGGAGGAGAGGAGGAGGAGGAAGAGGAGGATGGAGGAAGAGGAGGGGGGAGGAGGGGGAAGAGGGGCGGAATGGGGGAAGGGGGGGAAGAAGAGGGGAGGAAGGGGTGAGGAGGGGGGGGAGGGGGAAAGGGGGGGGGTGGGGGGGGCGGGGTAGAAAATGGGGAGGGAGGCTGGAGGATAGAGGAGGAGGGAAGAGGGGGGAAAAGGGGGAGATGGGGGGGAAGGGGGGAGGAGAAGGGAGGAGAGAGGAGGAGGGTAAGAGGAGGTAGAAAGGGGAGATGAGGGGGGGGAGGGGAAAGGGGGGGAAGAGGAGGAGGGGAAAAGGAGGGGAGGAGGAGGGGGAAAGGGGGAAAGGGGGAGGAAGAAGAGGAAAGGGGGAAGAGGGGGGTAGGGAAAAGGAGGAGGGGAAAAGGAGGGGGAGGGGAAAAGGAGGGAGGGGGGAAGAAAAGGGGGGGAGGAAAAGGAAAGGGGGAGGAGGAAAAGGGGGGAGGGGAAGGGGGAGGAGGGGGAAAAGGAGGAGGAGGAAGAGGAGGGGAGGAAAAAAGAGGAGGAGGAAGAGGGGGGAGGAGGGGGAAGAGAAAGGGGAGGAAAAGGAGGAGGAGGAAGGGGGGGAGGAGGAAGAGGAGGAGGAGGGGAAAAAAAGGAGGAGGAGGGAAAAGGAGGAGGAGGAAAAGGAGGAGGAGGGGAAAAGGGGAAAAGGAGGAGAAAAATGAGTTTGACTTTTAAAACTCTACAAAGAGTGAAAGACCACTTTATAAAGCTCTACAAAAAGTGAAAGACCACTTTATTTTTGCTCTAACAGAGTGAAAAAACCCCTTGAAAAAAAAAGCTCTACCCCAAAGAGGGGAAAAAAACCACTTGATAAAGCTCTACCAGGGTGAAAAAACCAAATTGATAAAGCCCCTACACAGAGGGGAAAAAACCCCTTTTATTAAAAACTCTACACAGGTGAAAAAACCACTTGATAAAGCGTAACAGAAATGAAAAACCACTTGATAAAACTCTTCACAGAGTGAAAAAACCCCCCTTGATAAAGCTCTAAAAGAGTGAAAGACCACTTGATAAAGCTCTACACAGAGTGAAACACCACTTGATAAAGCTCTACACAGAGTGAAACACCACTTGATAAAGCTCTACACAGAGTGAAACACCACTTGATAAAGCTCACTCACCTGTATAAGCAGAGCAATGCCCACCACACCATACACTTGAGCCGACGCCTGACTGAAATTTCTGTAGAGCTGTGAGTTGTACCCGTAGAGCTGAAGCTGTGGGGAGAGGGGTGATTAGTAGAGCTGGAGCTGTGGGGAGAAGGGAGAGTAGTAGAGCTGGACTTGTAGAGAGAGGAGAGATTAGTAGAGCTGAAGCTCTGGGTAGAGGGGAGTTTAGTAGAGCTTGGGCTCTGAGAAGAGGGGAGTTTAGTAGAGCTGAAGTTGTGGGGAGAGGAAAGATTAGTAGAGCTGGAGCTGTGAGGGAGAGGGGAGATTAGTTGAGCTGGAGCTGTGAGGGAGAGGGGAGATTAGTTGAGCTGGAGCTGTGAGGGAGAGGGGAGATTAGTTGAGCTGGAGCTGTGAGGGAGAGGGGAGATTAGTAGAGCTGGAGATGTGTGGAGAGGGGAGATTAGTAGAGCTGGAGCTGTGGGGAGAGGGGAGATTAGTAGAGCTGGAGCTGTGAGGGAGAAGGGAGATTAGTGGGACGAACACTCTATTTACACTCATCTACACCCACCTAAACTGACCAACACCCACTAACATTCTAATAACCTACTCTAATAACCTGTACCCATCTACACTCCACCTACACCCACCAACATTCACCTACACCCACCAACACCCTCCTACACCCAACAACACCCACCAACATCCACCTACACTCATGAACACCCACCTACACCCAGTAACACCCTTCTACACCAACTTACACCCACCAATACCAACTTACCACCAACACACCCACCCACAACCCACCATTAGCCACCTACTCCTACCTATATCCTCCTACACACAATCACACCTATCTACACCCACCTACATATAACTACACCCACTTACAACCACTTACACCCACCTATAATCACCTACAACCACCTACACCCACCTACACCCACCTACACCCACCTACATCCACCTACAACCACCTACACCCACCTATCTCTCATTACAAGTCTAATTTACATATAGATAAGTTCCATCTCATTACTCACCTTCAAAGGGAAGGCAGCAATGATCACCTCATTTTCACCTCTTATTATCATGTCCACTCTGATTTTCATCTCAGTTTAACTTCTTGTCATGTTCAATCTCATTTTCACTTCTCATGTACACCCTCTCATTTTCACTTCTTGTCATGCTTATCCCCTCATTTTCATTTCTAACTGTTATATTCATCCTGTCATTTTGACTACTTATTGTCATGTTCACTCTCTCATTTTCACCTCTTGTTGTCATGTTTACTCTCTCATTTTCACTTCTTGTTGTCATGTTTACTCTCTCATTTTCACCTCTAGTTGTCATGTTCACTCTCTCATTTTCTCCTCTTATTGTCATGTTCACTCTCTCATTTTCACCTCTTGTTGTCATGTTCATTCTCTCATTTTCACCTCTTGTTGTCATGTTCCATCTCATTTTCACCTTTTGTTGTTATGTTCACTCTCTCATTTTCACCTCTTGTTGTTATGTTCACTCTCTCATTTTCACTTCTTGTTGTCATGTTCACTCCCTCATTTTCACCTCTTGTTGTCATATTCACTCTCTCATTTTCACCTCTTGTTGTCATGTTCTCTCTCATTTTCACCTCTTGTTGTCATGTTCACTCTCTCATTTTCACCTCTTGTTGTCATGTTCACTCACTCATTTTCACCTCTTGTTGTCATGTTCACTCTCATTTTCACCTCTTGTTGTCATGTTCACTCTCATTTTCACCTCTTGTTGTCATGTTCACTCTCTCATTTTCACCTCTTGTTGTCATGTTCACTCTCTCATTTTCACCTCTTGTTGTCATGTTCACTCTCATTTTTAAAACCCTTTTTTTCATTTTTACTTCTTTTTTTTCTTGTTGTCATTTCACTCTCATTTTCCCTCTTGTTGTCAGTTCACCTCATTTCACCTCTTTTTGTCATGTTTCAACTCCTTTTTTTTCTCCTCTTTTGTCATGTTTCAAATCTCATTTTTTCCCTTGTTTTCATTTCCCTCTCCATTTTCACCTCTTGTTGTCATGTTCATCCTCATTTTCTCCTCTTGTTGTCATGTTCATCCTCATTTTCTCCTCTTGTTGTCATGTTCATCCTCATTTTCTCCTCTTGTTGTCATGTTCATCCTCATTTTCTCCTCTTTTCATGTTCACTCTCATTTTCCCTCTTGTTTGTCATGTTCACCCTCTCATTTTCACCCTTGTTTTCAGTTCACCTCTTTTTCCCTTGTTGTCTGTTCACTCTTCATTTTCACCCTTGTTTTCATTTCACCTCATTTTTCCCCCCTTTTTGTCATGTTCACTCTCTCATTTTCACCTCTTGTTTGGCATTTCATCCCATTTTCACCTCTTGTTGTCATTTTTATCCTCATTTTTCCCCCTTGTTGTCATGTTCATCCTCATTTTCTCCTCTTGTTGCGTTCAAACCTCATTTTCACCTCTTTTTTTCATTTTCATTTACCCCCCCCCCCTTGTTTCTGTTCATTCCCCCATTTTCCTCCCTTGTTGCATGTTTTATTTTTCCCTTTTTCCCTCCTCTTGTTGTCATGTTTTTATCCTCATTTTTTCCTCTTTTGTCATGTTCCTTCCCTTTTTCCCTCTTGTTGTCATGTTCACTCCTCATTTTTTACCTCTTTTGTCAGTTCATCCTCATTTTCCCCCCTTGTTTTCAGTTCATTCTCTCATTTTCACCCTTGTGCATGTTCACCTCATTTTTTCACCCCTTGTTTTCATGTTTCCCTCTTTTCCACCCTTTTTCATGTTCATCTCATTTTCTCCTCTTGTTTTCAGTCAAACCCATTTTACCCTTGTTGTCATGTTCATCCTCATTTTCACCTCGTTGTCATTTCACCCATTTTCTCCTCTTGTTGTCATGTTTTCATCCCATTTTCCCCCTCTTTTTGTCATGTTTAAACCTCATTTTTCCTCTTTTTTTCAAGTTTCAATCCTCATTTTCTCCTCTTTTTTTGTCAAAAAGTTCAAACCCCCATTTTCCTCCTCTTTTTGTCTGTTTATCCTCATTTTCACCCCTTGTTGTCATTTTTCTTTCCTCATTTTCTCCTCTTTTGTCATGTTCATACCTCATTTTCTCCCTTTTGTCATGTTCATCCCTTTTTTTCCTCTTTTTCATGTTACCCTCATTTTCACCTCTTGTTGTCATGTTCAAACCCATTTTTTCCTCTTTTGTCAGTTCACTCTCTCATTTTAAAACCTCTTGTTTCCCTTTCAAACCTCATTTTCACCCCTTGTTGTCCCTGTTAAAACCCATTTTTACCTCTTGTTGTCATGTTCATCCTCTTTTTTTTCCCCCCCCTTGTTGTCATTTCTCCCATTTTCCCCCCCTCTTGTTTTCATGTTCATTTTTTTTCAAACCCCTTTTTCCCCCTCTTTTTGTCATGTTCATCCCATTTTCCTCCTCTTGTTGTCATGGGGTTTTTCCTCATTTTCTCCTTTTGTTGTATGTTTTATCCTCATTTTCCCCCCTGTTTTTAGTTTCATTTCCTCATTTTCTCCTCCCCTTTTGTCAGTTCTCCTAATTTCCTCCTCTTGTTTTCATGTTCATCCTCAATTTTCCCCCCTCTTGTTGTCATGTTCATCCCCTCTTTTCCCCTCTTGTTTCATGTTATCCCATTTTTTTCCCCCCCTTGTTTTCAGTCATTTTCCCCATTTTCCCCCCCTCTTGTTGTCATGTTCATCCCATTTTTCCCCCCCTCTTTGGGGGCATTTTACCTCATTTTCTCCCTTTTTTTTTATGTTTTTTTTTTTTTTTTTTTTTTTTTTTTTTTTTTTTTATTTTTTTTTTTGTCATGTTTATTTCCCATTTTTACCTCTTGTTGTCATGGTTACCATTTTCCCCTTGTGTCATGTTCATCCTCATTTTCCCCCCTCTTGTTGTCTGTTCATATCCTCATTTTCCCCCCCTCTTGTTGTTTTTTTATTGTTAAATTTTCCCCATTTTCCTCCTCTTTTTCATGTTTCCCTCCTAATTTTTCCCCCTTTGTTTCAGTTCTTCCCATTTTCTCCTCTTGTTGTCATGTTCAAAACCCCTATTTTCCCCTCCTTTTTTGATGTTCAACCTCATTTTTGGGCCTCTTTTGTCATTTCAAACCTCATTTTTTCCTCCTCTTGTTTCTTTTTTCACCCATTTTCCCCCCTCTTTTTTTGTCATGTTCATTCCCCATTTCCCTCCCCTGTTGTCATGTTTTATCCTCATTTTCCCCCCCCCTTTTTTCAGTTCTCCTCATTTTCCCCCTCTTTTTGTCATTTTCATCCTCATTTTCTCCTCTTTTAATCCCTAAACACACAATTGTAATTTCATTGTTGATGTTGTAGTTTGTTTTTGAGTGGTTTTTGTTGTAGTGGGGTTTTTGTTGTAGGGGGTTTTTGTTGAGTTTAGTTGTTTAGTGGTTTTTGTTGTAGTGTTGTTTTGTAGTGGTTGTTTTTTGTAGTGGTTTTTGTTGTATGGTTGTTGTTGTGTGGTTGTTGTTTTAGTGGTTTTTTGTTTAATGGGTTTTTGTTGTAGGGTTTTTGTTGTAGTGGGTTTTTGTTGTAGTTGTAGTTTTTGTAGGGTTTGTTGTTGTAGTGGGTTTTTTGTTGTAGTGTTTGTTGTTGTAGTGGTGTTGTTTGTGGGTTGTTTTTTGTTTTTAAATGGGTTTGTAGTGGTTGTTGTTTAGTGGTTGTTGTTGTATTTTGTTTTGTTGTAGTGGTTTTGTTGTGTGGTTTTTGTTGTAGTGGTTGTTGGGTTTTTTAGGGTTGTTGTTGTATGGTTTTTTGTTGTAGTTGTATTTTGTTGTATTTTTGGGGGGTTGTTGGGGGGTTGGGGGTTGTGGGTTTGTATTGTTTTTTAGTGGTTGTTGTTGTTTTGGGTTTTTTAGGGTTTGTTGTAGTGGTTTTGTTGATGTTGTATTTTGGGTGTTGTTGTAGTGGTTTTGTTGTAGTGGTTTTTTGGGTTTGTTTTTTGGGGGTTGTTTGTTTTTTGGGTTTTGTTTTGTTGTTGTTTTTTGGGGGTTTGTTTTTGGGGGTTTTTTATTGTGTTTGTTGTAGGGGTTTTTGTTGGTGGTTGTTGTAGTTTTGTTGTTGT